CCTGTCTAACGCTTGCTGGCTTCAGTGCTTATTGAAGGCGGCTGGGGAGGAGGAGGTGGGCAGTGTTCTTAAATAGTTTGAAAGAGTTCAAAAGTTTAAATGGGAAAATCTGAAGCTGTGGAGTCTCTCAGGCACAGCCATGCAAAGCACAGAGCCCGGCCTGTCCTAGCACTGGCATGGGGAAGGTTATAACAGCTGTCCTTTCAGTGGTTGGCCGTTTTGCTCAGCCCAGTGCCAGAAGAGAAAGATTCCCCCGTCCAGCTGTGGTGGCTTTTTATGCCAGTAAAAATCCCAAGCCACACAGGTGGTGCAGGGCACTTACATCCTGAAACACGAGTGGACCCTGGTGCCCAGTGTGATGAGCTGTCTCTGCCCCACTGGGACACTTGGTAGGGCAAGGAGACTGGAGGACCCCAGAGCATGTTAACAAATGTTGCTTCTCCTACACCCAGGGCTTGACGGGGCAGCAAGCAGGCAAAGTCCCTGCCCCAGTGCATTTGCTATCTCAGGTCCAAAGTCTTCCTCCCTCTTCCTGGGCTGATCCACTGTTGCTCTGCATCTTGTTCCATTATTTTCACCAGTGCCAAGCAGGGGCCAGTTAGTGAGAATGGCACATAAGGTGACAGTACTGCAGTGCCCTGGCGCACAGCCCTGCCGTGGTGCATCGGGCCCTGGGTGGGCGTTCACTCCTGTGCAGCCAGCACAGCTCTTGGGCACCGCTGCAACCCTCTCCAGGACACTTGCAGGGAGTTGGCCATGGCTCATAGGCCTCCTCCAGGGAGAAAGGGAAGGCGGACCTGGGTTGTGAGTCTTCTTCCCTTTGCATTTGCCATCGGGGCATCAGTTCGGCAAAGTCCAGTGACGCTTGTGCGAGGTAAGAGTGCCCCCAGCTGCCAGCACGATGAAATGCCTGGCATTTGCCTTCTGCATGAGGCCGATGATTAGACCCTGGGAATTCCCCCCCTTGCAGAGGCCAGTAGCCACTACTAGTGCCAGCATACAACTAGGCAGCCGTAGAAAGTCCCTCACCCCACTTCACACCTGAGATGCTGAGCACAGGGCAAGGAAGGAGAGATGTAAGCCTCTCTCCCCGGGCGTGGAGGGAACAGGTTCATTTGTGATGGAAGAAGAGCATTTCCCCTTTCAACCCCACTGCCTCCTTTCCCTGAATACAGGAGAGTGTTACTCCCCCTCTGGCTCTGCTGCACTGTGCAGAGTGGACAAGAGATGGAGCTGCAGCACTGCTAGGAACCTGTTCTCATCCATTCTTATTCTCCCCAGAGTCAGCCCTGGACCAGATTTCTAGCTGGCATCAGTCAGTGTGTCTACCCTGAGGTGATGGAGCGGGGCTTGCACACCTGAATCCCTCTCTCTGAGCAAAATGTGGGAACAGCTGGATCCAAGCTCACCACCCAACTGGGTACGTTACATTTTTATTTTGGAGCAGTTACTGTGATGTCAGGGCCCACGGTGCTGTTTGCTGCGTGTACACAGCAACAAAGTTCAACTAGACCACAGGGAGAATCATTCTTCCAAAGGGAAACTGAGGCAAAGGGAGTTCAAGTGACTCACCCAAGGTGCTGGACCAAGTTTGTGGCCAAGAATCAAGTCCAGTTTGCTCCACCACTCCATGACCCTGTGGGCACCCAATTCCCATTTTCAGGCTAGTTGATCCTGTTCTTCTTTCCTCAGTCCCTTTCCTCCCCTCCACCTCCTTCCCCTTAGTTTCCTTTGTGGGATTTGGGTAAAAGAAAGCTTAGTGAGGGGTCAGCACCCAAGAACACACTTGTGGAGTGAGTTGCATGCACAGGGCATTCTCTCTATGGGTGGATTCTAGCATCTATTTCTGCACCAGAGCAAGGGAGGTAAATGTCCCACAAAATGCCATTTACTTAGCTTCTTGCTTTTAATGAGATCATGTTTTTCCAGGCAGAACTGACCCCTTGGTACAGACTTGTGGTTGCAGCCCCTAGAAAAAATCCCAATATTATGAAGGTTTAATTTGGTTCCTCCAAGCCAAACAACCCTATTTTCCGCAGAGTATTAAATGTTCCACTAATTCCCTGTTTGGGGATTAGCAAGATATGAGGAACACAAAATGCCTGGGTGACAGAATTCATTTCCAGACACCTGATAGGGAGGGAAAAAATATGCACAAATGAAAATCAGCCAATAATTAAAAGATTAACATTTAGCTTGGCTCTAGCTGCTAAGCCATCAGAATAAGTTATGAGAGGCAAGTCATGGCTCTGACAGTCCTCAGTAACATATGGCACATAAATATGTCCCTGCAGCTAAGCAGGCTTCGTATATGGTCAGGTATGCAATGTGTTTCGCGCACACAAATGTTCTAGGGGCTGAAGCTGCCAGGGAGGCGAAGCCCATGTGCGTTGTGATGACATAAGGAACCACTATGCAGCTTAAGCTCGAGGTATTATTTAATTCAATCACAAGCTACGGCCATGAGCAAATGGACTTCTATGTAACTCAAGTTGTGGCTTTGTCTCTGTTGTTCACCAGGGGTCACATCCTGCCTGCAACTCTTTGTAAAACAAAGGCATACCCTGGCTGAGCCACCCTGCAATTAAATGGAGCATAATGCCTAAGCGTGATCTAGGAACACAGTGGATTAGAGTCGCCAATTCTGGGACGTTAGCTAAAATCCCCTGCTTTCTCACTGAGGCAAGGGTAGCTGTGCTGATCTGAGTTTGGGGGAACTTTCCTGCTCCTCCATAGAGGAGCTGAACTAGTCTCACCTGGTGCCTCTTTCCTGCAGCCAGGCTGACTGCTGCTCGGGTGCTCCAAGGACAGGAGTGATGTAAAAATGGGAATAGAATAGATTGGAGCTGTGGAGCAGACCCCAGAGCAGCACCTGAGCTCCAATTAGTGTGAAGGACTGACTAATTGTAACTGCAGTTGCTATCTCCATGCCTTATTTCACCACATTTATCAGGTGAAATGTGAAGGGAGACTGCCCTGGCACTGGAGCTATGCCAGCAGTGAGCAGCGTCAGCATTGTCTCAGCAGGGAGCAGACGTCTGGGTCCGGCTAGCTGCAGTCAGGAGGCCCTTCCAAGATGTCCACGGGTCCTTTGTTCTCACCGAGCCGCAGGGAGCCAAGAGTGAGACTGTGGAGAGGCTTTCTCCCCCATGGCGACTCAGGCCATCCCCGTGCCAACAGCATTAAGCTTCCCAGGCAGGATTGGATCTGAGCAACTGCAATGATAGGGGTGCAGCAGATTCACTATTTGCATCAGACAAACTGGTTGTGGACAGCAGCCTCTAATGTTCTCCAAGCTGCTTGCTGCATTCTTCTGTGCCGAGAAGCTCAGCAATGAATTTGCAAAGTAGAGCCAATTCCCAGCTTCCCTGTTCATATCTATCACTTCTTCTGAAGCCTTTTCCAATCAGCAGAGATGTATGACTGACTCTGCTTTCCCCGTTCAGCACAGAGATGCTTCACCTGTCTCCAGTGGAGAAGAAGCTGGAGATGATATTCTTTCTTCCCTTCCTTCGTGATCTGGGACTTCCTGGGGATCTTTTCATCTCTGTTCTCCTACAGATGTCTCTGCTGCTGCTGTCAGATAAAAGCCTCAGCATGGCAGAATCTCCTCTTCTGGCAGGAATCTCATCTTCTGTCTTTGGGACCTGGTCAAAATGGCACCCCCCATCATCTCCAACCAGACAAGACAGAGCTTTGGCCATGCCCCCACTCAGGAAGAGTCCTCTCAGATGATTGTCACGACAGTGATACCTTCCAACTCAAGCAGGGCCTGGAGTATGTTTCACATGGACTGACACAGTCCCCTGCATGTTACAAAGGGCAATGATTGCTGTCAGCGCTCTGCGTTACTTAGCATCTCCCGTCAGTGGACCTCTGTGCACTTCACCAGCAATTGCAAACGAAACATCAGGCCTCCTTTGCTTCCCCCAGAACAGCCGTACTTTTAGTTGTTCTACAGTGTAGGGCTGGGACTTGTTGGGGACCTCAGGAAAAACACCAAGCAGTTTGAACTCCCAGACTCCTGCTGTTACCATGAAATATGCTCTCTGAACTTCCCTGACTTCCTACATCTCCCTCCAACCTCCCCCATTCCTCCTGTCTGCATGTGTCCCTTGGTCTATATTCAGCTACTGGTCTATGGCTCCTAGTCTGGAGAAGGGCAAACCTGCTGGGATACCATGAGAAGCAACGGTCAAACTACTGGGATTCCCCATCCCCCTTTGAGGGAGACACCTGGGTATCTGCAGCTGGTTTCTGGATGTTAGGCAAAATGAACAGTGATGATCTCTGCCCTACCCTGTTTCTTACTTGGACATAATACTATTGAGCATGCACTGAGCAGGCAGACATAAAAAACCACATCAGATGTTGGATGTAGTTAATGATTTCCAGTGTCCCAGGTGGTGCTAAGACCTGTTATTTTGCCAAGTAAGTCAGAAGAACTGCTGTGGTTAGGATACCTCCGAAGTAGGCAGGGCTCAGCAGAACCCCAAAGCAAGGCTGGAGCAGTGGGCACACGAGTTTGGGGGAGAGGTTTGTCACTTAGCACCCTGACCTGCCAGTCTTGCTGGATGGAGTTCAGCCCACTCCAGTCGCGCTGTTTACACTGGTGAGTGCAGAGCTAAGGTATGTTATGCTAACTGTGTACAAGTGGCAGGGGAGGGCCAGGAGTCTGGATTTTCACGGTTATGGTTTGTCTATGGGTATGAATTTTTCCATATCAAGGCCTGGGGTAAGTATCGGGGTGTGGAGCTGTCTTGATAACTCCCAGTGTGGTTTCTCTTGTTGCAGAAGAGCTCTGCCTTCTGGTCTAGCATAATCCACTTTCAAAATGGCTTTAGCTAATGGGGAGGAACACACACTCCTCCTGTAACAGGAATCCCCACATGTGAACTTATGCAGGAGAAGCTTGTAGGCATCTGACTCCATATTAAGTTGGATGAGATGGGATGGTTTAGATGAGATTTGTCTGGGGTGGGTTTGTCAGGGACAATCCTGACTTGAGCAGGGGGCTGGACTAGGTAACCTCACGAGGTCCCTTGGAGCCCTGCTTTCTATGGCTCTATATTTTAGTACGTAAAAGGGAGCAGGCCAATTTTCAAAAGAGCTGCAAACCCAGCTGCTCCTGCTGACTTTACCTGGAAGTGTTCCCTGTACAACCTCGGGTCATCTATGGCTCGACGTTACAGAGAGATGCCTGCCTTCCCACTGAGACTGCAGGCATGGGACTGCTCATGTTTTCACTGAGAGCTGAAATGATTTTTTCTGAACATCTCTCTTCCCAGCCAGCCTCCAGCCTTTGCAGACAGCCCTGAACATTATGCAAGAAGTGCTGAATGGTAAGTAGCTTTGCATTTTGCATTGAATGTATTTCACAGGCTTCTAGGCCATAGCCACAGACAGTGTGGGGATGCTGAGTCTGGCGCTGACTGTGGCAGACCAGGCACCCTGGGGAGGTGTTTACAAACCAAGGCACTCTTAGAATGACCTCCTGGTACTCATTTCGCTGACCAGCAGGGTTGAAGATAGCTCTGCCTTCCTGCTGCAGTGCCTAAAGCTCCCAAACCCCCTTCATCCATGGGTGGTGGTCAGATGCAGGAATGGCACGCCATGGGATCATGATGGCACTGTGCAGCGCTCTCTGCCTTGCACTAGCATTTCACTCCCCACATTCATTTCCTCTGATGCCCTGTTCTTTAAAGTATAATGTAAATAGGGTAACAGGCCTTTCTGTTAAGACAGAAACTTGCTGGGATGCTCAGTCACTAGGAAGATAAGCCCCTTGAAATGACAGGCAGGAGGTAGTGCAGCCACCTGAGGGGTGATAAGGGGAATAACAAATGCTTAGTGAGCCCGGTAGCTGAGGCTTTTGCAGGTAAGGTGAGTGGTGGAGTAGGAAGGGGAGGATACATTAGTGCAGGGTCTGGCTAGGGGATAGCAAGTGGGTATTGCAAGGCTCCCAAAGAAAAAGCCTACCTAGGAGCACTGAGCTCATTGTCAGTGGAGTGCAGCATTAAAAGCCTCTAAGCATTGCTGACCTGAAGCTGGGGACAAGCTAGGACTGTCTGTGGGATATGCTGAAGTTATCAGAGCTTTGCCAGTGCTGTGTCTGAGTGCCACTCCACTGGCTTCTGTGTCTGTGCTGAAAAGGAGGCATATGGTCTGGGAGAATTCCAGCACAGTAAGAGGTGAGAGAGGCTTTTGGGTGCCTACAGTAGAGAGAGATCTGCTGTGCCTTCCTCTTTCCAGGTCTGTGCACAAGACCTTAGGAGGCCCCATTTTTCATGGGTGTATCTGATGCTGCAAATTGCGGTGCACTGTCAGAAAGCATGCACTCCTCAGCACTGAGAGAGCCATCTCACTTGGGCATGTGCAGCCTGCAGCACCTCCATGGAGCCCTTCAGCACAGCACCCTTGGCCCAACACTGCATCAGACCCATTAGTCTCAGACTGCAGAATAAGGACCTTTCCTTGCAAGCTGCTTGGCTTCTGTAGGCTCGGGTATGTTTAGCATGACAGAGGAGGCACTCTGGGAATACGCCAAGAGTGAGCCGAGTCAGATTCCTGATGCCCTGTGAAGCAGGCAAGTGTTGTCCATGTTTTAGGGAGAAGGAGGTTGAGGCCCAAGGAAATGAAGCAACATGTCCAGTGTTACCTAGAGTGCAATGGAGCTGTCTTCCCCATTAAGAGCTGGGGAGTGCCAGGGAGTAGCCAGTCCTGCTCTGAGTAAGGCTGGAGATAGGAGAGAGGACTTAGTGCCCGGGAGACTTCCTTGGAGGAAAGGGAGGGCTGTGAGGAAGCCATCTGGCTGTGGAAGATAACCTGGGGCACACCAGCTTGGGAGTGGGAAAGGGCCAGGGGGCTGCAGGGTCTCTGGATCTGAGGATAAACTGCACTAAAACAGCCTGCCACTGGGCAGGTCATGGCTGATGATCGGTTCAATGCAGGAGTGACCTGCCTCTGTGGCAGAGGCCAGCACACCCAGGCCTCCTGACTCCCAGACCTATGCAGAAGCATCTCCCCCTTATTCCCACCTGAGCTGTGTGGACCTTGCAACTCTCCAATGCCGTTCAGGGATTTATCCTGAACCTTGGGGGCATGCAGCCCCACTCAGTCTCATTCAGATCTGCGCAGGGCTTCCACCCAAGGGCTTTGTCTGGGAAATGCCTGTGTGCAGCTCATGTAGTGGAGAAGCTGGTCTGTGCTGTTCTTTGCTCAACTGCCAGCATGAAAAATATAGGGCTTGCAGGTGGGGTAAAAAGCTTTTTATCATTCCCCATTGCTGAGGCCTTGAGGGAGGAGGAAGGTGTCAGTGGGGGACCAAGGGAGCTGGTTCTGCCTGGGGTTCCTCGAAGGGCAGTGTAGGAAGCAGCTGCTCTCCAGACCTGAAACATCTTGTTTTCGCAGTGTGCGTTGCCTGTGTCACGCAGCCGTGCACGGTGGAAATGTCACCCAGATGCTTACTTGTGCCTGTCAGGGGGCCGACATTAGCTGAGGAAGGTTGGCAATTCTGCAGATTCTGAGTGAAGCCCTCGCTTGGCAATCAGGGCACCGTCTGAAGTAGCTTGGTGCCATTTTCCAGCTTGCTGCATCTCAACTTGTTTCACGGTAAAAATGCCTGCTGGCAGTCCAGGAAGGGGGGTGCTTTAGCAGCATCTGTGAAAACCCATTTTGGTCTATGCTGGAAGGACCTCCTGGAGAAACTGGCTGCAGTGGATCATGTCCCAGAAGAGCCCTCCAGGGTGAGGAGAGTTGTTTCCTCTGACACTCAGGTAGAAGCCAGGAGAGCCATGCAGAATTTGCTTATCATAAGCCCTTGGCACTTGTTACAAGTCAAGGGGGTAGCACTAATGTTTTTGTGTGCTTCATTCTTTAAATCAAGTGCCCAATGTGTTCAGCTGTACTTGCCTGAAGTCCCTGCATGCCACAGCCTGTCGTTCTAGGCAGTGTTGCTTAATAATGGAACCAAAATAATAACAGAGGTGGCATTCAAAGTCTGAATTGAAGGGTGCTGCCAGAAAGCAAGGTCACAAAGCTAGCAAAAAGAGTTATTGCCAAAGAGACAAGGGGGAAAGAAGGGAGAGATTTTCAGTCCTGCTTTTGTTTGGCTGCTGCTGTGAGTAAGCACCAGTAAAGAAAACTGTCCTTAGCCTTGTCTGAGGCTAATGATCTGCTGCTTTAGCTGCTGTGCATGGCATCACGCTAATCACCCAGTACAGAGGCTCTGTGCTTTGGGCCTGACCAAATGGCAGTGCCCCAGCTGAGTTAGCAGCAGCGAGTTGGCTGCAGAGATGAGAGGGAGGAGCGAAGTCCAGGGATGCGTTGGCACAATGTCAGGGGGGGTCCAAGCATTTAACAGGGGATGTTTGAGCCTTGCTTCAGCTGGGGAATCATTTGGGTTTGGCAGTCAAAGGCAGGTCAGTGCAGCACTGGCCACATCACTGTTGGCACACCTGACCCAGGCTAGCCTCAGGGGCCGTCTGCCTTGGGTGTGACTATTTTGGGAAGAATACGTGATATAAAAATGCAGCAATTGGTCTTGCTTGCCTGAGGAGTCCCTGATCATGGATTAATTATTCTTCTGTCTCACTCTCCCCATCTCCTGCAGTATTGGTATTCTGCTCTCTCCAATTGGAGCAGTGTCCTGGAGTGCAGAGGGGGAGCTGGCACTGCTCCCCTGTCAGGAAGGAATTGGTAAGGGGGAAGAGAGGCCAAGGCAGGGGCACTACAAGCATGCATCAGTGGATAATTGCCAGCTGGGCTGTGGTGCTGGGAAAATTTTCTCTCTCTCCCTTTTCCTTTGTATATAATTCCCTTTCATTGCACTAGGAGCACTCTCTGCCTTATACATCTCACATGACCTTTTAAAGGGAATTAAGGTATCAGTTGGGGCTGTGTTTTCCACCTCTTAGAAGCTCTGTCTCACCAGGACAGCTTGTGCTCATGGCTTACTGAAGTGCCATTGTCTGCCTCATTGCTCAAGGCAGTCAAACTTGATTGTGCCGGCTGGTCAGCACTTCTCCTACATTGTGCTTTCCTGGGGTGGAGTGCCCAACCCATGAGTCTCCCTTTCTGACCACAGGCAGCTCCTTCAGTTCCCTTGTGCCACAGCTCCCCAGCAGGGTGGGAATCCTGTTGTCTCAGTCTTGTCTGGTGAGCCCGTGAGCCACAAATGCTCACGAATACAGATCTCAGCACAGAATCGAGGGAAAGACCAGGACAATGGGAGATGTGACACAGGCAAGGTCTACGGAAGGTGTTGGAGGCTCCTATATTCCCCTTGCAAGAAGAGGAGGCAGAGCAGGTGATCCTAGCGATCCATGGGTATAGCTGAAAGCGAGCTGTCTGTCTGTGAGTAGCTGGCTGGCCTGGTCCCAGCCCAACTAATGGCTGTACTGATTTTCCATCTGGCTTGGCAGCCTGTTGCTGATACGCTTGAAACCTGAGCTGGGTTTTCATAATGAACCAAACTGGTTGACAGTGCATGATGGATCCATGAAGTCCAGGGGATACTGGCATGGTCCTGCCTGTGGTGCAGGACTGAGGAGTTCTTTCACAAATTAGGGCTTGCTTTGGCTGCTGAATCTGCTAGCATAATCTGCCCCTCCTTTCAGGGCAGGGAAAAATGCACTTGCTTCATGAAAGCATCGGCTGCTGCCTACCCATGGCTCTGTACGCAGGTTAGGACTGCCGTGGGGAAGGGCTTCATAGTATTCATAAGGAGTAGGGGTGCCTAACCAAAGAATCCAGCCTGTAGGAATATCTGTGTCTGAGGGCTCCCCAAGGGGCCAGTGCATGACACTAAGGTGTAGGAGCACCTGACCCTGACTATGAATGACCCACACCACTTAGCATTTGCCTGCCTCAGTTTCCCCAGCTGCAAAGTACCCAATTGACAGAGATGTGTAGCAATTGCCAGGCTGTGTCTATGTCTTGCGGTATCCCAATGGTGAGGTGTACTCATTTTGTTGGGGGAAAAAATATTATATAGTTATATATATACACACATACTCTATCATAAACTTTCCATTGCACCCTTAAGCTGCATTAAGAAACCCATGCTCCTGTTACAATAAACACCCCCACACACCCACCCGCTGCCCTTCCCTAACCCAACTGCAGTTCCCTAGTCCGAGTCTCGATTTGGGGTTTACATTCTCAGTTCATTCTCTGTCTTTGTTGCTGTCACTGTCACTTCCACTGCTGCTGATCCTGTTGCTGTCTTCCTCGCTTTCTTCAGGTCCAGTTGCATCATTGTCCTCTTCCTTTTCCCTGTTTTCTTCCCCTCCTGGGGGGTCTTTGAACAGCCTGTGCCAAGTGTTGCTTTTCCAGTGAGGTGTATGCATGTCTGTGTAGAGCTGGGTTTTCCACAAGGGCTCAGCACCTGGCAGCTCCCCTGCTTACCTGCGGGGAGGGCTTATCTGCCCTTCTGGGGAAGGGCAGCAGGTACTGCAAATCCAACCTTTTATTTTTACCTTGGGACAAGGCAGTGCGTTTCTGCATGGGAGTATGGCTTGCTTCAAAGTTAAGCACCGACAGGGTCCAGGGACAGCCAAGTCCAAGCAGTGCTTGATTGTTTGACACGTGCTTGATTCCAGCCAGATTCTCCTGTGGCCAGAATCCACCTGGGAGCAGGTCAGGGGGAGAGTTCAGGCTTGCATTTTGCAGGGGTGGAAATGCTGGGTGTGCGCTTTGCCCAAGTTGCATGGAGCTCCTTGGCAGCTATCACACACAACCCAGCTTCCCACCTGACCTTTGCTCCTGTCCCTTGCAGTGCAGGCCTGAGAGACAACAGTTCTGAGTTCGAGTAGCAAGTTACCACCCGGGAGGGCAGTGGAGCTTTGCGAGCAGCTGTAATCAGTCCAGGGAGCCTGGGATGAGGAGCCAAGCAAGGTATTAGTATTCAAAAAGAACTGTCATAGCCCAACACTTTGCATCTGTGCACAATAGAAAGTATCACAATGCCGAGCCAGGAATGGAGCTTTTTCACCTACTCCGATTTGATGAGCAGCTTCTGTTCAAAGAGCCTTGCCTCTTTAAGGGAGCGATGCTTAAAAACATGCTGTGGTTGTTGGACCAAAGAACCCGCACCACGGTTGTGTGACACCTAAAGGGGGCTTTAAAGCGGAGGAGGGAGAAGAGCCTGAGTGACAGAGAGACTCGCACACTGAAAGGGCCTTTGCATTGTGAAGCCCTGCCAGTGACATCACTGTTCTTTCCTTTATAAAACAGGGGACTTTAGGAGTCTGCATTCAGTCTCGGCTCAGGCTGATGAGCCTATCAATGCTGAACACGCTCACAGTTTACCCCCGCTTGTGTCCCTGCTTTCATCCCCCCTTTTTTTTTCTCACCCTGGCCATTGTCCTTATGCTGGAAACAGGAGGTAGTGCATGGGAGTTGACAGCTTCTTCAGCCTGTCAGCAAGGAGGAGTTCTCCAACTGCGAAAGGACACAGGTAAGAGCATAAATCATTTCCCATATTCTGCCTCCCGCTCTGAGGCTCTGGAGGTCTTCTTGTGGTAGCCGATGGGCACCAAATACTTCATTGTGATCTTCCCAAACCAGGAATGCTAAGAAGTAGATACCGCTTGTGTTTTGTGTTTCCCATTGAGTGGCCATTCACTGATTGCTGAAAAACAGCAGGGAGAAGGAGGGAGTCCAGGGAAGGATTTGCACAAGGAAGTTGCCGAATACCTGAAGCAGCAGATTCAGAAAAACGTATGTCTCAGCCGATGCCGGGAACTTCAAGAGTGGTAGACTTCCACTCCCTCCACGTACACTCAGTGCAGCAAATGGTTACCCGCGAGACACTGTGCGTTTCAGCCTGTGCCTGCAATTCAGGCATCCGTGCAAACAGGTGATGCACGAGTTGAGCTTCAGCCTTTAAAAGTGGTAAGCATCCAAAAGGAGGTGACTGCATCCTTGCAGAGAGAGATGGGGCTCTGAGGGACTTACTGGCAGTGGCAGTTTGGGATTTATCCACAGGGCTTTTGTCAATATGCAGTTTTTCTTCTCCCAGGGAGTTAAATGGGAACAAATAAGGGTCTGCCTGGTGTTAGTGCTAGGGAGCCTTTAGTGTTCCATGTGGGCACTGATTGCTGAGGAGCAGAGGGGTGGAAATGCCTAGAGACTTTGGTTACCATCCTAATCATCTACCATTGTATTCATCACCTACATTAACTCTTGATTGCTGGGAGCAACAAGTGGGCCCTAAAGAGAAAGGAGGCTTCTGCTTTGTGATAGCGTTGCCCTGGTGAAAGTCATTGCAGCAAACCTGGGCGGGTGTGGGGAATTACTTGAATGTCTTCCCCACCGTAAGAATCTGTGCATTTGCATTGAGGGCTGAACAGGCAATTCCAAGCACACGGGCAGCACCACAGTGACCAGGAAAGTTACCCAGCACCAGTCAGATCACTCCTGGGTTATGTATAGCTGCACGGGGTTCTCCTTACCTGGCCTGCATCAGGGTCACATAGGTTGGTTCCAGGCTCTCTGGGGTGTGCATGATAGGCTTCCTGGGGGTGACTGGCTGGTCATGAGCAGTATGAGGCAGGGTGGGCTGAGCCCTGGTGCCTGGGGGGCTAGCAGGCTGCAGGGGAGTAGGTGGCTGCTTGCAAAGGGCTGTAGCTTGCTACCCCCATCCATGGGAGCTGACACCAGAGGTGCCTCTCTCTCTCTCTCTGAGAGACAAAGCTGCCTTTGCCACCAGGCTGATGCTTCCTCCAGGCTCTGCCTTGGGATACAGCTGATCCCTGAGGCTCTGGAGATGGCTGTGGAGGAGGGAGAAGGTAGAGTGCATAGGACAGGTATCTCTGCAGGGAATCTGACAGCACTCAGGCCTGCCTGAAATGCAGCCCCAGGTCACACAGGAAACCCCACTTTCTTCATCTCAAGCTGCTACCGCCACCTCTCAGCCACTGGTGCCCTGCTAGTGCTTTTGCTTCGATGCTCCCACTGTATCTGTGCAGCTCGGCTCCCAGCTGAAGGAATATTTGACTTAAAGATGGGAGGTGCCTGGTCCATCCCACCCAACTTCTATCCCAGGGAGATGGCTGTTCCTCTCTGACTGCTTACATTGCCCCTGACTTTAAGCCCTGTGGAAAGGAGGGCTGGACCTGATGATCTGTAAGGTCCCTTCCAGCCCCTAAAAAACTATGACACTGTGAAACTATGAAAATGCCACCCCAGAACACCCCTTCCTCTGTCCACCGGCCTGTTCATCTGTCTGTCTAGGTTGCAGGTTCTTTGGGCCAGGGACTTTCATTATGAGTGTGAACAGCTCCTAGCACACAGGTCTCTACTTGCTGCTTGTGCTCTGTTGGTGCTACCAATAGTTGCTCCTTACTGATTCATTCTCCACTTGCTTATGGTAGTTTTAAGAGGCAGGCAGGGGACTCGGCTTCCTCCGGCCCTGCTTTGCCCCAGCTCATCAGCCGGTGTCTTTCTCTTGTCCTGCTGCCCCTGGTTCTCCCTGCTCGTTGGAGGTAAATTATTAGGCATGCTCCCTCCTGTGTGGAGGGAACAGCTTTGCAGGTGAATTAAGGTGCTGGGAGCCAGCTGGCCTGAAATTACCCCTTAGGGCAGGGAGATGCCTCTGAAAGCACAGGGGCCAGTCCTCAGCTGGTGTGAATGGCCAGCCTCAGTGGAGCTGTGGTAGTTCACAGGCAAGAATCTTCCCCGTCACAGCACCTGCTCATTAATAGCATAATTATTCCCTGGTAGAGCTGTGCCTTCCTGCTCATAGCATCCATTGTGCTCGCACTCATTAAGTACGTATGCTAATTACACCAATGCAATAACAGAATGCCACTTACTCAGATGGCATTTCTGGGGTAGGATTTTTCTCCTCCCCGTCTCACCTCACTTTAATGAGCTGTCTCCAGGTTAGTCAGTTGTTTATTTTGTTTGATACATTCCCAGCCCGTGCGTGTATCCCCTGGCAAATTCTTTTTTACCAACATTTTCTCTCTCCCCCCACTTCATTTTTTCTGTCCTCCCCTCTCCTCACATATCTGTCTATCCCCTGCTCCAGGGTTTATCTCTGTGTATCTAACTTCTCTTCCTCCAGCACCTCTTTGTTTCTGTCTGTCTATCACCAAGCAAATCTCCCCTCCATCCAGGCAAATGCACACCCCTGGTTTTGCATCTTGCTGTGCACATAGGGCATACATGTAGCCTTGGTATCAAGTTGCTAACCTGAAACTTCCCTGCTGCTGAAACTCTGCCATTCTCTTAGCTCCCTTGTGCTCTCTCATAGCTCCTGCCATGGATTTTCCCAGGGTAGAAATGGAAGGTGGCACGAACAAGACAATCTTGTCCTTAATGAGCCATAAAAGGAACTTGACATATTCACGCTACTACCAGCACTCCCCTGCAGTGGCTGCCATCTATATCATTGCCTACGTGTTCATCTTCACCCTGTGCATGGTTGGGAATGGCTTGGTGTGCTTCATCGTGCTGAAGAACAGCCGGATGAGGACCGTCACCAACCTCTTCATCCTCAATCTGGCTGTCAGCGACCTGCTGGTGGGGATTTTTTGCGTGCCCACTACCCTGGTGGACAATCTGATTACAGGTAAGGGCGATGCTAAGGGTTGGTCAGCAGCCTTCTGTCTAGTGGAGTTCATGATGCTGCCAAGTGCTTTGAGCACAGGACTGCACAGTCCCTGCTCCCTTGGTGACCTCAGGGAGACAATTCCTGCCTCCTAGCCCCTGGCTTCAGAAGGACATTGTATGGGAGTGCTCTGTGTAGTGGACCCCCTAGGACCCAGCAGCTATAAGAGCAACACCAGGTCTCCATCAATCAGTGCTTGTGGGTGTAGGGGCCCAGGTGGTTCATATGGGGCTGTATGAGACCTAGAAATCAAGGGCAGCATTTGCAGCCCTGTAGGCCTTAGGCAAGGGGCCAAATCCCTGTAGCAGTGCTGGGAGGAAGGCTGTTTCATTTTTGCAGGAGCTCCCTGCTCCCCGCACTGAGGATCGACACCCACTTGGCACCTGTGAAAAAGAGACTGGTGCCCCCGGGCATGCTCATGGCCACATGGAGACAGTTGTGCAGTGGGCACTTGAAGTGCTTTAGGCCTGCTCCAGCTCAGTACCTGGTTTTCCAGTGTAATTTGTATCTGACTTTCCTGTCCAGTGGCAGCTTTGGAGTTGCTGCAGTGAGTGTCACTGCAGAGGCTCTGTTTGTGTCCTAAGTTGTCTCAGCGGTGCCTGTTGCAAGGTTTAGTGTCATCCCCACAGGCCTTAGTAAGCACCTGATGAGCCTGGTACCTGAGCTGCCCACTAAAGCACGCCTGCATCAGTGGTGGGTGAGTAGCTAATGGCTTCCCTCTGCATCCTTGGAGTGCCTGTGAATGATGCCAGAGGGGTCAGGTGGGAGGCCAGTGGTATCTGTGTGTCAACCTAACCTGGGGAGAGAAAAGGACTCTGTCTAATGCATCTGAGCCTCTTCTGTCACCAGCATCCATGCTCTTTGGAGAGCTGGGATACAGCTGGTAGAGAGGCCAGAGAAATGCATTTCATTCCCTCTAGCTGCTAAGTGGATTCTGTGCTTGCAGACAGGGCAGCCTCTGCCCAGCTGCAGCAGCAGAGATACGGTACAAACTGCCCATGCACAACCCTGCCAGGAGATGTCCGGGCTGACCTGCCGTGTCTCCTGCCCCTTCAAGTGCTGCCTGTGCATGCTCCCTGATGCTCCATGTCCTGCGCCCATGCAGTCCTACTGGGTCACGGTACCAGCTGCTCTGGCTGTGGGTCCCGCACGGCTTTGACAGTGCATCTGGTACCTGGCCTGCAGCAGCCCCAGTGATTCCCCACATAGGCCTTCTTCACACAGCTTGACAAGGCCCCTCCATTTGGTGTTGCCAAGCCCCATGCTAGTCCAGGCTGGGTGTTTGCCATTTCCCCCAAGTCTTCCAGGGCTTTTCAGCCTGAAATCTCACAGGAAAACAGACGATGCTCACTTGCTGAGTTCTGAGGTGACTGCTGCAGAGCTAGTAAATTACCATCAATAGCCACTCAACAAGGCAGGGGCTTAATGCGCAAACCACTCTCAAGTTGCACGATGCAGAACTGCTCAAGCCTTTCCTAATTCCCTTGCATGTGAGCTCCCGTATTAGCTTTAAATGCGTTGTGGTAGTTGAACTGTGAGCACATCTCACCCTGCATCTTGTGGGCTTATGCCTCATTTGCCCTGTCGGTTTTCTCCTAGGTTGGCCCTTCAGCAACGGAGTCTGCAAGATGAGTGGGCTTGTACAGGGCACGTCTGTCTCCTCCTCTGTGTTCACGCTGGTGGCGGTTGCGGTGGACAGGTAAGAAGGGGCTGCAGGAGAGCAGCACCAGGCACCGAGGCTCCCCCATCTCTTATGCCACAGAAGGTGGGTTGAGTGCCAGGGCATCCCCAATGTGTCTTTTGTCTCCCATTGAGATCCATGGGGAAAAATCCTTTTGGATCCAGAACAGAGTTTTTACCCACAGCACCTGCCTTAGCAGCTCTGTGGCCAGAGAGGGCCACTGGGTGCCAAATGCAAACATTTGCCCCTATAGCACAGAGTGAGTAGTAACCAGAACAAGGTCTGAATTTGCAGAAGTGCTCTAGCAAGGAGAAGCTCTGCTTCCCTTTATATCACCCCTGAGCCATTCGGTCCCAACAGGCCAGGCCTTGCTTCCCTGTGATGCCACGCTGAGGTTGAGCATCTCTTGCATCTGTGATAACTTTGCAAGACAATTCTGTTTAATCAAAAAATCAGTTATTTGGAGAACAGTGGAAAGGAGCTGGAATGAGAGCTCGGGAGCTATTCAAAATGAAAACAATCAGAATGAAAAAGTTGTTTTCCCTCTTTTCTGTGTGTTAATCATTCATAATTGTGCATCTCCTGGCAGCAGTGCAGTCTGGAAGGAGCAAACAGTCATTGGCATTGGATGCAAGAGTCCTTGATCTGCAAGCTTAGCCTCTGGGGTCTAGCCTGAGAGTTTGATTGTGTGAGCAAACCTGAGCTAGGCTGTGTAGAAGTGAAGGGGAAGCCCTAAGCTCTGCCTTCCTGCTTCAGGGTGATGCCAGCCTGTCACTGACAGGGCTTGTGCAGAAAATTTCCCCTGGGACCAGGGATTTCATAATTGCCTACTGCAAGGTTGCTGAGGCAGCTGGTATTGAGTACTATGAAGATGTGGGATATGGGGCTAGATTGACCTCTGGACTAAGCTCAAGTGGCCACCACTGTGTTCCTCTGCTCCTGTGTTCCAGCTCCTTTCTAGAACAAATAAAAACTTCTCTGTTTTAAACAGAAAATGAATAGTTTCCTGCCAGTCAATCTCACCTGCCCTTGCATTGCTTCTGACCCAGGTTCCGCTGCATCATCTACCCCTTCAAGTCCAAGCTCAGCCTGCTCACAGCCCTGAACACCATTGCCATCATCTGGGTCCTAGCCATCACCATCATGTGCCCATCTGCTGTCATGCTCATGGTGGCACAGGTGGAGGATCACTACATTGTCTATGGCCACAACCAGAGCCTGGCCTCCCCCCTGTACTCCTGCTACGAGGCCTGGCCCAACAGTGAGATGAGGAAGGTCTACACAACTGTCCTCTTTGCCCACATCTATGTGGCCCCCTTGACCCTGATCATGGTCATGTACGGCTGGATCGGGATCAAGCTCTACAAGTCGTCAGTCCTGGTGAGTCGGCACCGGGTGGAGACCCAGGAGCGTAGCGGTGCTGCCGTCTCCCGACGCAAGGTCAAGGTCATCAAGATGCTCATCCTAGTGGCCCTGCTCTTTATGTTGTCTTGGCTGCCCCTGTGGACACTGATGCTGCTCACAGACTATACCCAGCTGGATGATGCCCAGCTCCAGCTGCTGACAGGCTACATCTTCCCGTTCGCACACTGGCTGGCCTTCTCCAACAGCAGCGTCAACCCCATCATCTATGGCTACTTCAACGAGAACTTCAAGCGGGGCTTCCAGGCCGCTTTCAAGTTCCAGCCCTGCTCCCACAAGATGGGGCCTCATGAGGCCTATTCTGAGAGGCTGACTGCCAGCACCACTGGCTTCGGGACCCGCAACAAGGTCTTCACCAATGGCGAGTCCTCCGACTTCCTCTGCCTCAAGACCCTGCCTGCCAAGGGGCTGTGCCCAGCACAGAATGGACAGGCCCAGACACTGGGACTTCCCCTGGAGAATATCAGCAAAATCACCCCCCTGAGCAAAGTCTGCAAAGCCTGGGATGCGTGAAGCTTGTGGCTGGATGGGAATGACTTCATGTCAGGAGTGTTTTTGTCTCTTTCCACCGGCAAATGCTGGGTGTGTTTGCTGCTGTGACGTGTTTGCTGTGGGCAGTGTCTCCCTACCAGAGCTGGGTCTCTCGTATGCCACATCCCATTTGTAAATGCAAGGCAAACCACATGGGCGGTTGTTGTTCATTATTCCAACTAATGCACACGAGGCTTTGTCAGCCACTTCCAGTGTCTAGCAGAGACCAACTGAGCATGCTGTATCAAATGTCTGTGTCATTAAAGCTATTGTTCCACACGCCGTTCCTCTGGTCTGCTGTCAGACTCCTGCAGGCAGAAATCTACTTAGAAATCTCGGGGTTCAGTTTTGCATTGGAAAAAGTGATGAGTTTGGCCAGTTTACAAGTTCAGCTCTCTCACGGCTGATGAAGCAGTTGAGGTCTCTCTCTAGTTGCCCTTTTGCTCTAATGCGGGAGCTGAATTATTCCAGCAGCTGTACAGTCTAACACACAAGCTGTGAAGGGGGCAGAGCGATGATAAATACAGGGCCTTCATAAAGTCCTTGTGCACTTTTCAACTTCAATAACTTAGGTTGTAGGTAGGATAGAAACAATCTGTAAATGGCATTTAAAAGCAAATTTATTAAAGTTTTAGGACAACTAGAGTACACAATGCTAGACTTCAACATAACCACCATCCATCATGATACAGTGCTCAATCTGCTCTTCCAACTCCTTGAAAATATTTGCCGGTTGCTCTTGAGTTACTGCACTAGATGCGCTGGTGATCCTAGCCCTAAGTTTCACCAAAGAAAGTGGTTTTGACAAGTAAACTACACTTTTAACATGTCCCCATAAAAAGAAGTCCAACGGCAACAGGTCAGGTGAACAAGGTGGCCAAGCAATTGGTCTGTCTCTGCCTATCCACTTCTCTGGGAAAACGTCATTTAGGAACTGTCGTACATTCAGAGCGTAGTGGCACAGAGCTCCATCATATTTAAGAAAAAATTCGTTATTACTTATGAAGTCTAGCATTGTGTACTCTAGTTGTCCTAAAACTTTAATAAATTTGCTTTTAAGTGCCGTTTACAGATTGTTTCTATCATACCTACAACCTAAATTATTCAAGTTTAAAAGTGCACAAGGACTTTATGAGGACCCTGTACTTAGCCTTTTTGACTAAGCTCACTTCAGCACTGAAGCAACAGAAATGTAAGCCCCCATCCAGTAAAGTTCTTTAACATATGAGTAGTCAATATGCTTGTCATTCTTGGCTCTTTCTAGAGTAGGAATGTGCAGCAATTAAACTAAATGGATGTTTAAAAAACCTCCGTCGAATTAAACTGGGGCAAACCCCTAAAAGAGAGAGACCTAAAATGGCTTAACCCTTGTATAAGCCTGTGTACGGTGTCAGGAAACTACCCAGGAACGACTGAGAGTTTTGTGTGTCCCTGTTATGGTTTTGTACTGGTAAGAGCGGAGCGTCACCAATTCTTGTCACCAGTTCAGTTCCAGTGGTGTACTAATGTAGCACAGACCAGGCATTTTGCTCAATAAGAGTTCTTCCGTGCCTGGAAGGGATGAACTACTGAATCAGCCGAGTAACAGTGGCACCAACACCTGTGCTGTGGTGTAAATCCAGAGCAATGGCATTGACCTCTGGCCATTGACTCCTGTGTCGCACTGCTCAGGGGAAGAGCAGATTTTGCCTCAGGCTCTGTCCAAATTGCCAGTTGCTGGTGGGCAGCCAGTGTGATCTGGATGTCCAAAGGGACCTACCCTTCAAGAGCCTGCAGTCCTGCTGGCAGGGTGCAAGCTCCTGGCACTGGCCCTTGGTGAATTCCCAGATGAGTGCCATTGTCCCCCTGAATGGGCAGGCAGCTTGTCCAACTGCTAGGACACATGTTTATTGTGGTCTTTGGTGCCTGGGTGTCTGTTCTTTTGAGAGAGATTAGCTCAGACAAATGGCACACTCAGCAGCATGATCATTGCTTGTTAGATACAGTCTGTGCTAAATTGGCTCATGTCTATTCATAACCATGCTGCTGGAAAGACATGAATTCTGCAAGCTCTTTGCTTTGCTGCACCCCTGCCTCTGGCTCCTACAGGACAGCTACACAGGGAGGCCTGGGGCGAGGGAAATTTGCCTTTCCCTCAAATCCTGGGATCTGCAGCCTGGAGAACTGTGTGAAGGGCTGGAGAACAGTAAAGGGAGATGGTGGGCCTGGAGGCAAAGGCACACAGGATGGAGCATGCAGAGGACAGAGGCTGGAGACTGGCGGCTGCCTGCTGCTGTTTTCCTACAGGGACTCTTCCTGTTATTGGTGAACCTCTTATTTTAATGCAGAAAACCAGGCCCTGGATTCCAGCCACTGGCCTGAGACATCATTACGTTTCGGAGGGCTGTGGGGTACTCACGCTGTGTGTGCTGCCCCTTTCACAGGCTGATGGCAGCTCTTCTAAAACAACCCCCTCCCTCCATTCTCCAGCAGCAACTTTCCACCAGCATTTTGGGGACCATGAATCCCACGTGCCTAAAAGCTTGAAGAACATATTGGAGCTATGTGAGCGTACTGCAAATATCAGGTTTGATGACCTTTCCCTGTGCCAGCCAAAGGAATCAGCAGAGGGTCAGCCCAACCAAATCCTTCCTTCTGCTTCTGGTAATGGCACTTGGGAGGAGCATTTGTATTTTTTTTTGCAAACCTGGGCCCGTCTCTTTCTACTGCAGGTGCTGTCTTCTAACCTCCTTGTTGAAGACAGCCTTATTGCTCTGTTGTACCTATCATGAGTGACTGCACGGTGGGTCAGGAAGGAGGCTGTGAGTCAGGTTTCCACCTGCTGTCCAGTAAATTACATTTGAAGCCTAATCCCTGTGTGCCCAGCCTGCTGGAAAGAAGGTAACTGGCCACAGTGCTCAGTTGAATCTATTACCTGCTGGTAGAAATAGCTTCTGGGTCAAACAGCCAAAAACTGTGCAGTCTCTTCCATCGTGCAAGGAGGATGGGTCTAACACAGACTAGAAATGAACCACGTTCAGCCATTTAGTCTCGGATGTCTCCCTCACTTTGTTGTCTCCTCCAGAGGAGGCCTTTAGAAACACATGCATGAGCCCCTCTGACAGCACTTCATTTATGACCTACAAACAGTTGTGCTCTGTGTTGTTGCCACCGCATCACATCAGAACATGTAGTTGGCCTCACACATTCCTAGTTGCTGAGGATGCAGAGAAAGGCTGGTCCCCTGACAGGGCTCCCTCCTGCCCTCTCCTTGCGCAGAGACACTGGGCCCTGCCAGGAGGATGGGGTGGACAACTGCATGCGTGACCAGCCCAATCGTGTCCACCCTGAGCATCATGTTCTGCCCCAGTTTGCTGCTGGTGAATTGTATGTTTGGAGGTCCCCCAGGCCAGAAGCTTGAAGGTGTTTAAAATGGTAGTTAGTGGGAAGTAAGCCTCCTCTCCCACCATGCAGGAGTTTCCCCTGCATACCCTTTGTGGCTTGGATGAGTAGCTGGAGCCCCGACAGTGCCGGTGGTGGGTTCAGCTGCCCTGCCATGCTGTGTAGCATAACCCAGCTCTGTCTCGGATCGGAACAGACGGGGAGTAACGATGGGGCTGTTTTCTGGCTTTGCCTCTCCTGGGACTCTTCAGAGACTGGCACATGATTACATTTGCTTTTGTTTTGCTCGTTGGATGGTTATTACTCCCCATCAATTGCCATGGCAGGGATGGGACTCGCTGGAAGTTGCCAAGGCAGTAGGCACATCCTCAGTTCTCACAGATTGTAGCCAGGGGCAAAGTGCAGGAGTGAAATTTTAGCTGTTCCAGCAATGCAGGTTTGTGTTGCGTGGCCTTTCCCCCCACCATGGAGGTCCTGGCTATAGGGAGGTTCTCGTGCAGGCATTTGGAGGTGCTCTGCTCTGTGGGCTGGTTTTGGTGGTCAGGGCGCTGGGCTATTTTACCTCCTACGTGCATTCCACATGAAAAATGCTGAGTGGCTCTAGGGATACAGGGGCACAGCGTCAGCCTGGCTGTTCCCTGCTCCGCTTTCCAGTGTTTTGAGCTGAGGCTGTCTCCCTGCATGTAAGCTGCAGGGCATTTTGCTCTCTGGTTGGTCATGGAGTGGGACACTGAGAGGAGAGGGGAAGGTCACTCTGGATGGGATTGGCCAGGTTGCATATGCCGGCACTCTAGGCCTTAGCAAGTGGGAGTAGCTAGGTACTCAGAAATGAGCAAATGGGAGTAGCTAGGAACTCACTAGCCAACATAGCTGGTCCTTCAGATCAGCCCTGCATGCCTAGTTCTGTTGCCATCCCATTGAGAAACAGGCTACTGCTTACACCGTCCCATCACTTCACTGGAGAGCCTGGGCTTCTGCCAGGTCTGGTTGCACAGAGTGAGCCCATGTAACCTAAGGGCAGCAAAATCCAATCTTCACACATCCAAGATGAGTTCTAGCAGCGTCAGAAGGTGGCGAGGCAGTGCCGTGGGTCCCAGCCTGCTGACCTGCTTCTCTTGTGCTCAATTATCCCTCTGCCTGTTGGCAGCAAGTGCCTGACTGCGGGTTCAAAGACATTCATCTCTGTTGAAAAGCTTTGATCACACACCCACGCTGGATGGGAGCAAACTCTGCTTCACACGCCCACGCTAGATACAAGCAAACTCTGCTTCTCCACTTAGGAGATGAAAGACCAACCCCACCTGTGAAGTGCCTGGCCAAAGGAGCAGGCCAGGGAGCTGAGAAGCACTTAGCAGCGAGTGTCGGGACAGCTGTGCTCCAGCAGGCAGGAGAGAGCCAGGGCTGCGGGCAGTACTGCGAGCAGGAGCAAGAAAAACTCAGAGCGGAGGGACATGGCTCCAGGACATGAGGTACGTAACACAGGTCTGGTGAGCAGCTGGGATCCCCCATGCTGGGGAGCTTGTGCAAAGCAGGCCTGGGAACGTCCTGCTCCATGGTGTGGGGTTCAGAGCGGGCAGTCACAGTGCAGTAGATATATCCAAGTGTTCAGCCCGGGCCCCAGGGACCACTTTGGCAACAGTGGTCGTGTGTGAGTTGATAGGGATAAGAACTGGCCGACAGTTTCCTCATCTGAGAAGTGGGAGGGTGTTGATGCTTCCCTAGCTCAGCAGAGTGGTGGGAGGTTGGATAAGTAACATGCTAGGAAAGGCTTGGATGAGAGCAGCTTTGCAAGCACTAAATGCTGCTGTGTGAGCACAGTTAAGAAAGAAAACACACTCAGACCCACCCTGTGGTTGCACATGGGGCTCTTCCTGGCTTTTGCTGATAGTTTGAA